AGGGACCACGTTGGTGGGAAGGTAAACAGCGTTCCGTGTCTAAATCACACTGGCCATGTGACCACGGAAAGATTGTCTTTGGACAAACGCTGGCTCTATGGCTTGAAGAGCGGGATGAGCGCCGCCCCCTAGAGTTGGACACGACTGGACAAAAATTGTCAAGGGGAACCTTTACCTTTTAATGCAAGCTAACCTGGTGTTTTGATGACCAATCACAAAACAAAGCAGGCCAACTTGTGATGTATGGGAGACCGGAAAACTTGTGAGATCATGAACTGATGGCTTTTAATGCATAAAAGACTAAATATAAAAGTTTTCTGTAGTTTCTGACTTGACCCTGAGGCACTGTCTTTTAAAGAATATGACGCCAACTCTGGTAGCCACAAATGGAGATCCATGCAAAAGTACTGATTAGTTTACATAAAGACTAGTCAAGCAGCAAAAGCAAGAGCAACTTCATTCATTCTTGGTACATTGGTGCGGGGGGTGTGCCTGGGAAGGGTGAAACTGGCCTGTAAGGGTATATGTGTGTGTGTGTGTGTGTGTGTGTACAATAATCAGATCATTAGGATAAAAAAGATTGTGCAACAAAATCATTTCATTTGATATTACATATATTTACCATGTGATCACAAAAAATACAGCTCTTTCTTGCTTCCCCCAATGTTTCATTGGGTCCCAAAGAAACCTGAGTTGATAGTTCAAGTCAGTGTTTGCAAGACATTCAGGTACAGAAGTCTGAAGCATGCACAGAATGGTTATGCCAATTACGACCATCTGATTGGTCTTATGTTTTGCAGGTAAATGCAATCAAATACATTTTATGACTGCAGTGGTGTACGGATCCTCCTATTCTAACAGAACGTTTGGGTTATTTTGATGATGCCCCATAAAATACTGAAGGAGAGAAATGTTTCGGTGTTTATTTGCTAAAGCACATACAGCACACGGCATTATTCCTCTCCAACATGATGTCCTATTTTGTTTGTATTTGAATGACTGCTTTAGACATGGTCAAATAAAAAAGTAGTTTGGTTTGATAAGAGGGGACAACCAGCAGAAGTGAATGTTTAAATAACACTAGCCCGAAAGTAGGGATATAAGTGACTCAGAGTGGAAGAAGTCTGGCCCATTCAAAGCCTTGTAAAATAAGGAGTAAGAACCTAAAAATGTCTTATTTGGTTCAAAGCCAACTTCAGCAGAGCTCTAAAAACCTCAAATTCAAACAAATTGACAGTGGCTAAGAATTTTGTTGTTTCTTCCATCCTGTTTGTTTTCAAAACCTGCTGAACTTGCCTGTGCAGAGTGGGTGATTCTAAAACTCACACCAGCAGCTTGTGCAGCTTAAATGGGCTTGGAGGCTGACATTTTGCTTCCAGACCTTTACGTGCAGTGCAAAAGATGTGAAAATGGATGGTTTCAGCCACTGGGCGGGGGGGAGTGAACAATACCCAGGTAGACACTTCTGCTTTTGTTATGGCTCCAAATTTGAAAACCACAGGAATATAAATGAGGTGGGTGGGAAAACACTTTAAAAAATAAAACTTAAGTGGGGAGCTTTGTGGTGGCTCCTTGGGAATGCACATGTGGCCTGTGGCCCACAGGCTGCCCACTCCTGACACAGAGTGTTGTCTTTTGCTCTACTGAGGCATCTGAAACATTTCCATTTTTTCAGATCCTTGCTACTGCAGATGCCCACTTGTCCCAAGCACGCTGTACAATGTATAAATATAACCTGTTCCCTCCTTATTGCTGCTAGGCATAGATGTCACAAAGAGCCAGAAGCTTGGAAAGTAACTTTTTTGGGGACTCAACTTCCAGAATCTCCAGCCACCACTTCCTTTTTCCAAGCTCCACAAACAGCAGATGAACTGAACTGCACAAAATCAAACTTGTATGCTTATAGAATGGAAACAGATTTGCTCTTATTGGGAGGGGGGAGGCTTCTTACATGTAGAAAATCAGAAATTCTGGGCTGGACTAGACTGCTACTTTTCTTCTTACCATCTAGTTTTCTATCTGTAGGGATTTTTCCATATTACTATTTACTATCCATCTGCCATTAAACAGTACAGTTCAGACAGATATCCTATTTCTGTTTAACAAAACATTTTAGAGTTAGGTTCTGTTGAGTTGGGTGATGCCACAATACCTGTAGAAATTGAATTGCATGGACATTAAACTGGAAAGTACACCTTAATACTGGTGTCAAATGATGGTCCAACTATTTTTGAAACATGAACCATTTTTTGAAATATGAACCATGTATATTTTGCCGATATAGCAGTGGTTTCCAACCTTGGATAACACAAGTACTCTTGGACTGCAGCTCCCAGAAACCGCAGCCAGTGCAGCTAGTGGTGAAAGCTTTTGGGAGCTGCAGTCCAAGAATCCCTAGGTTACCGAAGGTTGGAAACCACTGCAACATAACATTACAGATAATGGACCATAGTGTTTCCATGTTCAGTGTGTTATATACTACTAATATCCAAAAGATTTCAAGTAGTGACGGGGGCTTCATATTCATATGCAGATATGAGCTCTGGTGGCACAGGTGGCTGTCCTGATGAACACCCACCCCCAGAACCTGTTGGACCACTCCCTGCACAGCGTGCATGCCCAGCATCTTCTCCTGTGCCTCAGTCGCAGCAATAGCCCAGGTACCACAGCCCTCACCCGCTAACCTGACCACTCTGGCAAGGGGGCAGGAGAACAGGTCTCCCTGCTCAGTCGCAGAATGGCTGGGCGAGCAGAGAGGCAATCCTGTGCCAGCCACAATTGGGACACAGACAATGACGCTGGCCATGCGCATCACATGCTGCACGGTAAGTGGTCCAGCGGTTTCTGGGGATGGCTGTTCATCAGGTTGGCCACCTGTACCAGCGGGCTTTGTATTAGTGTACGAATACGAAGCCCCATCTCTAATGCCAAGACAGCTGCAACCAATGCACTGCTGGTCCTCCTGACCCCCCCCCCCCCGCTTTCTCTGTTAGCCAAC